GGCGCTGTGCGCGGTGTGAGCACACGCAGGCTCTCGCCCTCTCTGAGCCTCAGCCCCCGCGTGGTGGTCCTAGCGCAGTGACGGCGAACCTACGACACGCGGGTCAGAGGTGACACGCGAACTCATTCTTTTGGTTGATTTTTCTTTGTTAAATGGCATTTAAATATATAAAATAAATATCAAAATGATAAGTCTTTGCTTTACTATGGTTGCAAATAGCAAAAAATTTCTCTATGTGACACGGCACCAGAGTGAAGTTAGGGCTTTTCAAAATGCTGACAGGCCGAGGTCAGAAGGTTCGCCACCACTGGCCTAGCGGGACCTCCTTCACAGACAACAGCGCTACTCGGACGAATGGCGTTGGTGTGAGGCCCCTCACGCCACCCTAAGTGCTCGTAACTGTCCACCATCTCCAGTCCCTGCGCCTGGGGGCGGATTCAGAGTAGGCGACATGGATTCCGGAAGGTTCTGTGCCTGACAGGGCTCGATGGGAGGGAGCAACTGATCAGAGCATTCGGAGCTGCAGACCCCGCTCAGCGGCCGGCCTGGAGCTTGGGGCGAGCTTGGTGCGGACGATGGGCCTGCAGGATCGCCCGGTGGGGGGGCCCGGAGCACGGGGTCCTTAGGCCCCAGGCCCAGCCGACCGCACTCGCTGGCCACCCCGTGGCTGGAATGCCTCTGGGCCTGGGAAAGGACGGCTTTAGGGACGAGGTGCCATATACAGACGGGTGTGACCACCCATCCACCCGCCCTCTGAGGGCTCTCTGTCGTCCTAGAAACCCTCGCCCATGTGCCCACCCCATCTGCCTGGCGCAGGAACTCCCACGCACTGCAAAGACCCCTCGCCATGCCACCTGTGCCAGACACCCCGTCCCCAGGGCGAGCTGACCGCGGACCCCTCAGGCCATCACCTGTCCCACCGGAGCCCAGCACACACACTCACACGCTTGGGCAGGGCCCTGGGGGGGCCGCTGCCCGCCTTGCCCTCCGACAGGACTGACACCAGGGCCCCTCTGTGTGCCGGTGGCAGGCGCCTCGCCCGCAGGGGGCTGGATGGGCTGCTTCGCTCCCGCCCTGCCTCCCGCCAGCAGCCAGAGCCGAAACACACCCTCTGCTCCTCCAGGAACAGCTAACTCCGCATCAGAGGCCCTTTCCCGCCTCCAGGCCCACCTCCTGGCCGATGGGGCATCCTAGCTGCTAACGGACCCCACGCATCTTCATAGAGTGCCGACCAGGTCAGGCTGCGCTGGTCCATCCAGGTGGGCAGCTAGCGGGCGCTGCCCTGTCTGCGATGTCGGAACCTCTGGCCTCTTGGCTGAGATCTGGCACGTTCCCCAGCATCAGACCAAGCCTGGCTTTCTGGATGCGCCGGGTGTAGCAGAGCCAGTGGCCGGAGCCAGGGCCCCATGGCCCTCGGGGCTTGGCCGGAGCTGGGACAAGTGACCACACCAGCCTGGGCTCCATCCTTCCTTCTCCCTCAGAGCAGCTGTGAGGATGAGCCACACACGCAGGTGTCTCACCCAGGAGATGACCAATCCAGAGGCGCAAAGGGCCGCACCATCCAGAGGTGGCCTCTGCCTGGCCCCTGGCACACCCAGGGCCACCTGGACCTCCCAGCCTGCAGGCCCCGTCGCGCCCGGTTCACTGACCCACCTCGGCCCTGTGTCCCACCCCACTGCTCATCTCGTCGCCCTCCGTGCCACGTGCTCCACCTGAACACAAGGCCCTGGTTCGGCACTGGGCTCGGGCTTTCTCCCCGGGGTCCCTCAATGAACACTCCTTCCAAGTGGATGTTCCCTTGCCATGAAAACATATATACCCACCCCAAGAATCAGCCTCAGAGTTATTAGGAAAATATGTGAAGCATCCCCATTAAACTGAGAAAGATGATAAAAATGCTTGACAATTTCAAAGACTGTTTTAGAGATACTCGCCAACATGATTGCACAAGAAAAAAGAAGTGAGGCACAAAAATGGGCAAGCAGGAAAGTTACCGTTGTTTGTAAACGTCATAGTTAAGCCTCAGAGAAAGAACTGAAAAAGTATTACAAAGTCAAGGAACTTTAGTAAGGTGGCTGGGTATAAAGCTCACATGTAGTAATCCTTAGGTCTTTTCATCGAAGCAGCAGTCGCTTAGAAGATATCGTGGAAGTAAAGACCCCATTTATAATAGCATAAGAAGAAATATGTAGGAATAAATGCAAAAGATATATGCATATATTATCTATATGAAGAAAATTCCAAAACACTATGAAAGAAAATTTGAACAAATGGGGAAACATACCATGTTCTTGGATAAGAATATTCAGCATCATGAAAAGTCAATTCTCCTTGAATTAATCTATGAATTCAACACAATCTCAGTAAAAAAAATACCAACTGAATTTTTTTTTTTGGGGGGGGGGGTCAGGGGTACTACACAAGCTAATCCTAGAGTTCCTGTAACAAAAGAGCCATGGGAAGTAAACCAGGAAGACTTAAAACATATTAATGGGCCCTGGCTGGGTGGGTCAGTTGGTTGGAGCATCAGCCCGCACATCAAAAGGCTGTGAGTTCAATTCCCGGTCAGGGTACATACCTACATTGCAGGTTCAAGTCCCAGTTGGAGTGTGTGCGGGGAGCAACCAGTCAATGTGTCTCTCTCACATCGATGTTCTCTCTCTCTGTGTCCCTCCCTCCCTTCCACTCTCTCTGAAAAGCAATGGAAAAAAATATCCTCTGGTGAAAATTAACAAAGCAAACAGAAAAAAGATTTGAAGGCAAAAAAGTAAAACATACAAGAAGTAAAAAAGAAAAATTTTAATAATCTCAGAGTAGAGAAAGCCTTTCTCAGTACAACATAAAACCCAGAAGACATTAAAAAAAGAAAACAAAATTAGATACAATTTGATTACATAACAATTAAAAATTAGTCATGAGGGAAAAAAATCACAAACTCAGACACATTGAGAAAATATTTGTAATGCATATTTCCTTCATATATAAAGAGTTCCTGTAAATAAATAAGAAGATGGCCAAAAATTCAATAAGAAAATGAGAAAGGACACAAAGAGCTAGCTCACGGTAAAAGAAACACAAATGGCTCTCAAACATGTGAAGCGATGCTGAGTTTCACTCACAATAAGAGAAAGACACGCTGTTTCCATCATATTCCCACCGCGGCTCGGCTGGGAACTCCTCCTCTTCCTCTACACTCATCATGGTCCCCTCCATCAGGTCTGGTGTGCTTTAATCACCTTAAGGAAAGGGGCTTAATCTCTGGGTCAAGAGACCAATCAATATTTGTTGAACAAATAAGGAAGGAAGGAAGGAACTTGGGTCCCGTGGATTCCAGGCCCATGTACTTTTGGCCTAAAAGCCTTCCACCTACTTGCCTTCCTTTAATTTGTAGCAGACCTGAAAGGTAGGCATTATGTGCCCATTTCTCAGATGGAAAGGCTAAAGCTCAGAGGATAGAACAGGCCAGAAAACTGGGTCTCCTGAACTCTCCCCGGTTCCTTCCAGGCCCAGCCATCCTGGCAATGGCGATCCAACAGCCACCCAAGGGGCTGGGGTGTTTGGTCCGCATCCTGCCTTGACGGGGGGCCCCAGGCAGGGCGTGTGGCCGGCGTGCGTGGCACTTACTTGTGCGCGTAGCCCTCGGAGCTGGCTGTGAGGTTCGCCTGCATCACCGCCTGGAACTCCGTCTCGTTGCAGCAGTATTTAAACACCGTGTTGTTGTGGTGACAGCAGAGGATGAAGGTTTTGTTGTCCGAGAGCCGGGGGCAGTGGAAGCCAAAGTGGTAGTGGCCTTTGTGGTCCGTGTACGGCTCACAGACCCGGAAATGCGCGGACAAGACTGGAAAACAGAGTCGCCAGGCTCGGTGGGGTCCCCACCAAGGCCTGAGCACCAGGGGCGGGGCCTGGTGGGTCTGTCCTAGGGGGTCCGGTGCAAGCCTCACCTCTGGCAGAAAGCCCCCCTCCCTCCACGACAGCCCTGCTCACACTGTGTCCCCCAGACCAGGGCTCCCGAGAGCAGGGCTACATCTGAAGCCTCCTGGACCCTCTCGGGCCGCTCCGCACACAGCAGGCACTTGAGGAGGAAACACACAGTAAGCGCCCAGCCTGTTTTGTCTTCCGGAAGGAAAGTACAGTGCCAGTCACCAGTGACTGACTGGGCGCTTCCTGTGTTAACTGTGGCCTCACTGGCTCCATCTCATCTAATCCACCTGCTGCTCCGTCAGGTGGGTCTGAGATCCCACTCTACAGATGCAGAAACTGAGGCTCAGAGGCCTACAGTGACCTGCCTGAGCTGGTGGTGGTGGTGCCGTGGAAGCCACCCAGGCCTGCCCCGGCTGAGCCCTCTCCACGCCTCCACTCTGCTGCAGTGAGGCCTGGGGGACCTGCTCACAGGCCCAGGCTGGCCTGAGGGGTGAGGAGCATGTGGGCAAGAACCGGTCCCCCTTGTGGAGAAAGGGCACCCCCTTCGCACCTGGGTCTCTACCAAAGCAGTGCCCTCTCACCTGTCCCAGTGCCAGCTGCCCCGGCCTAGGAGCGGGCCCCGTTGCCAGCCGCGCCCTGGGAGGCCTGAGCAGACACAACGGGAAAATTGTGTCCCCCACAAGTTCATGTGGAAGCTCTAACCCCATGAGGGGAGGAGGCCTGAGCAGACACAACGGGAAAACCCGGGAGCACTGTCCGGCTTCGTATCTTCATACCAGGGGTGACTGGATCTGATTTGTACCCTGAGAAGGGCCCCCGTTGGCTGAATGCATCTCTCCAAGCACCCAGGCCTGCTCTGGGCGACAGCCCCTCCAGAGCCATCTCCCTAGGCGGCTGGCCTGCAG